GGTAAAGATTCGAGCTTTTTGTTCATACCTTGTTTATGGCCGGCCCCTTTCTCAACGGTGTGGCACTGAGCGCACTTCATTTTGAAAATTTTCTCTCCGGCGGCTTTGTTCCCAGCAGGAGCTTCTGCGAACGACGCCATTTCGAATTCAATCAGCTAAAATTTCAGAAATGTAAAATATTTATTCCTTTATATTTTATGGATGAATAGAGAGGAGTTGGTTTGTGCAAATGGATGGCAAAGGAGATAGAGGACTTGCTGTGGTTAAAGCCCCCTCCCTACTGAGTTTCTCTATTGGCATGCCTTTATTCTAGCGATCTGTTTAGTACTTTTCTTTCCTCTTTTTGTTATTTTTTATTTTTTATTTATGTAACTATGTTGATATAATTGCCTAATACTGCACTACAGTTACCAATATGGTGAAATTTATCCTCAAGCATCTATATTTTTTTGTCAATATAGTGCAACTCAAGTACTTTATTTAATTCCGTAATAAGTTTATGAAATTTTCTTACATGATAAGTACTACTATTTTCTATGTTTTCCTACGTTGTGAAAATTGAACATGCCCTAATGGACAATAGAGCCGCTGATTAAAAAATCACCTTAAAAAATCATCTCACTAAATTACCCTTAACCCAACAACAACAAGCACGTATTACTACCGATACTTAAAAAACATAAATTTTGACATTTTTATCCCTTTTCAAGTTGGAGTCCCTCCACTGTGCACATTTTTCTCGCTGTTCTTTCAGTTCATTGTGTAGCTAACACTCCAGTCACAGCTTATCAAACATTTTACCGTAGATGATGAACAATCAACGAAGAAGATTGAAGAGATGAAATAGACCTATTATGAGAATCTCGAATCGCACACAAAAACCTTTTAGGTACTGCGGCACATTACTTTCTCCATTTTCTCTCGAAAACCTAAACCCCCAAATTTCAGACATTGTTGCGCCTTCAAATTCACACCGTACAATCTCTTCTTTACGCTATTTCTCATCTGGGCCATCTTCATTTTTCTCTTACACTTCTGGGTCGTGTTCAATTTTTAGTTCTGGGTTCTATTCACTCAGAAAAAAGCAATCTTTCGACAGTTCCTCACCTACGTTACCTATCAAGAATCAATTTTCAATCACTTCCTCAAGTTGGTTATCTTCAGATTACGGAATTGTGTCGTATCCAAGCTACAAAAACCAAGCTTTGTGCCACTTTTCTTCTGGCCGCCCAAAAGTACGTTCTTTGAAGCATCCTTTTCTACAATCTTTATATTCACTGACTTTATCGAAGCAGGGTTCTTACTATATCTGCAGATGTTTTACTGTTTCATCGTCGGATGGGACAGTGAGTTCTGGTCGGCGAGCTGCCGTAGATAGTGAAGTTGACAGTATGAGGAATGTTAGCTGTGATCAACAGAATTTAGGGAAGGGGAACAATAGTCCCCGGAAATTCATTTTGGATATTGTCGATATCCTTAGGAACAATGGGGAGGATTTGGAATCTGAGTTAAGTACAATGTCTTCTAAATTGTCTGTTCGATCAATTACTGAAGTGTTTAAGGTTCTGAATGAAGGGGGTATATCTGGATTGAGGTTGTTCAAGTGGATTTGGGGGAACAATCATAGGTTGCGCAGGAATGCAATTGTTTGTAGTTTGATTATTGATAACGTGGGAAGATCGGATGATTATGAAACCATGTTTGTATTGTTGAAGGCATTCACATCCGAAAAGATCTGCCTTACTTATGCAGCCTTTTTATTCATACCCATTTTGACCTCAGAAAATTCTTCTTTAAACGAACCAACTCAAAAAGTGGTTGATTTGTTGAACAAAGTTGGGGGATCGTGTCGAAATTCGGGTGTTCATGCACTGATCGAGATGTTCTGTAATTTGTGCTTGTTTGAGATGGCCAGATACGTAATCAAGGTTACAGAGAGTAAAAAGTCATACTATTGCCTTCTGATTCGTGCAAAGTGCAAAAATGGGCTTTTAGAAGATGCGTACAGCATAATAAGGGAGATGCAAGAGACTCATTGTATGCCTGATACCACTGTTTATAACTACCACATTGGCAGGTTATGGAAGAGTGGAAAAATGGATGTGGCTTTTGCATTCCTTAATGAAATGAAAACAATTGGTGTACATCCGGATGCAATCACCTTTGAAATTCTCATAAATTTTGTTTGTAGTTTGGGCATGATGGATGATGTGCACAAGCTGCTCGATCAAATGGCGTCTCAAGGACTTGAGCCTCGCCCAACAACTCATGCTCGTGTTATCAAGACTTTGTTTGTGGCAGAAAAATACGAGGCGGCACACAAGTATGTTGTCAATCCGAGTTATAAGATCTGTAGCAATATGATGTACAGTTTACTGGCGAACCTCTACCGGGAGAAAGGTGATGTTTTGAGTGCCAAGGACCTTCTTATTGAGATGATGGACATTTGTCTGAAGCCAAATTTTAGCGTTTATGTGAAAATCGTGAAGCAGCTTCGGAAGATTGGAAAGAGAAATCTTGCAAGGGATTTGGAAGACAGACACTCCAAATTTGTTGTCAGGTCCCAGGCATGAAACTTTGAGTTGATTACTGGACAATTTTTGTTAGTACATTTTGTTTTTCTTTTTCCATTTTTTTAAACTTTATGGATCATAGTTTAGTATTTTAGTTTCAATATGTAAACGCAGAATGAGGAGCAGCTGTTGATTATGCTTCTCCAATTGAGGAGACAGTGATATAAATGACCACCAAATTGCCTCTTTGTTCTTTTTTTCTTTTGCACTTTTCCTTGCCATATTTTGTTGGTTGCAAATGTTATGCCAATTTACTTCTCTCTTTGTTGTTTAACGGTTAATTTCTCGCTATGGAACTTGCAAATATGAATTTAAGTTCCCATCCAGATATCCAAGCTCCATGTTGGATTGTGATTCTGCTCCTGGGGCAACTATTTACATTGAACAATTCTTGCCACAGGTTAAGCTCGAAACAACAAATACATTCTTTTTTTTTTTCCTTTTCCCTTTTAATTATGTCACATATTTTTTTGGTTAACACTGAGTGTCCTTGCAGGTTACAAGCTATTATGTATAGAACATATCACCCAAGGCCATGCTGGACAACTCCATTTACCTATAATTTACACAATATGAAGTTGTTTAGATCAATACTTGCTGAGCTTGTGCACTATAAAATGTTGCGAGAAAAGGTGCAGAAAAAAGTTTGTAGGTGTAAGGTACACTCATCTTCCAAAGAATTTTTAATGTTCTTGCTGTAGTATGTGAATTGCAGTAACTAAATGCTTCCATAGTATTGTGATTTCGTATTCCTTTGAGTGCCGCCTCTGTTTTTTCATTCATTCACTAATTATACTCTTTCCTTCTATTTTTGGCAAGTCTAGACTTTGAAATATCTCTGTTATGGTCAGTGTTTAAGACATTTTTTGAGGCTTTGTATTGGTTCTGATGAAATAAAAAATTGCTTATGTGTGAACAGCTGGGATTGTCCTCTTACCTGAATAAAGAATAAAATCACTCATGTTTGAAAGAGAGCAAAATAGAAAAGAATTTGAAAATGTTTCTTGCCTGAAACTTGAAAGGGAGATATACCTGGACTTGGCATCAAAGTGGATTAAAGTTGTATTGCAATACTTGTTTGGAATTCTTAAGATTTTGCGAGGGCCAGTTGTATGGGGCCACGTGTCTTCTGTTTGTCTGTTTGAAACTCTGAAACGTATTATGATATCTAGAAGAATCTAATCAAATGGATCGAGTCAACAAATTTGGGTGCATTTTTTTTTCCCCCAATCAAAAAAATAAAAATAAAAAATAAAATAAAACAATTTGAAAAGCAAAAATCTAACAGTAAATTTCACTCTGTCAGTACAGGATTGAAACATCCGTGTTGTAGACACTACCTTCAATTATATAAAAGAAACAACATCGTGACATCAAATTATATGCATGTAGCTTTCAGATTTTTTTATTTACTCATATTATTTGTGACTCCTCTTGATATAATAATATTCTCTCCTATTATTGGTGAGTACTCTGGATATAATATTCTTGAGTTACGATTGGTGCTTTGGGAAGCATTATCAATAACGAGTACGAAAAGATACACGTTCATATGATTCATCAACTTTGACTATGGTCCATAATAATATTGGCATTATTTTCATTCGTGCGTATATATTTCCACCAATTAAATCAAATTTACACAGACGTGACTAACAGCTGTGTAATGTACCATGCACTAATCACTTTTACTTAATTTACTCGTCTAAGATTTTCCCTTTACTTTTCTACATATTAGCCTAGAGAAGAAGTAAACAGTTTCCTAAAAAAAAAATATATGATCAAGAAGTCAATAACAGTTTCCTAAAAAAAAAAAAG